CGCGCAGGTCAAGAGCACTGTAGATAGTGCTCCTGGCCATCGAATCGATGATGACATCTTTTCGCGGTATCGGTGTCTGCGCCGGTATCGTCGCATCGTTCAGCTTGTTGTACGCATGAACGATGCGCCAACCGCCCTGTGGCTTCTTGACACAGAACGTCGGAGCAGTGTGCGGGGATTCTGATTCCCGCACTTGTCCAGCTTTGCGACGACTCTCAAAGAAGTCGTCGATCGCCTTGACCTGCTCTCGCGGCAGTGGCCACTGCCGCGTGACACAGTACTTCGTGCCCGGTACGAGATCAATCTCGTGCTGGATTCCCTTGTCCTGCGGAAGTTCCGCAGGGATCTCTTCGGGAAGCACGTCCGCGTACTCCCGTAAGATCTCGTAGTAGGGACTCGTCCCAGCTCTGCTCTTCAAAGCGCTCCTTCTTCGTCTTCGCACTGAGAGTGTCCTCGCTCTCAGTGGTGGTCTCCATGAAGAACTGCCTCAGTTCTTCATTCTCGCTCTTCGTTCTCTCGGCGTCCGAGAGAATGCATATTTGCTCGATGCGTCCATCATGCAAGTCACGCGCGAAGCGCTTCCAGCTCATGACTGGAAGCGAAGTGCTTGCGTCGTAGGATTAGCGAGAGTCAGCTCCCTGTACCGAATCCGGAGGTACGCGTCAAGACGTTCAGCGTCTCGACGTCCGGCTTCTCAGCCTCGGTCTGCCCAGCAGACATTTCTTGTAGCGTCTCGGCCCAGGCCGAGACTTGCGCAGCGGTCTTCGCATGCGCCGTCTTTTTGTTTTGCGGAGCCCGGCTCCGCTTGGTTCTTGACCTCGTCCAGGCCCAGCCGTGGACGGGTTTTCTTCTTCAGTACCGCCGGCGGGTACATCCCGCGGGCGAGCGACTTCAAGCCCGGCTTGGTAGAACGGCGCTTCGTCGTGCAGCCCGGCTGCACGACAGCATGCAAGTTTTTTTTTCGGTGCGGGACGTTTGCAACCGTCCGCACCGCCTGCAGCGTCGACTCCCGGAGCCGACACGCCATCTTCACCTCGACGCCTGTTATAGGCGGAGACCCTTTCGGGGCTGTTGTCCTTTTCGATGCCTTCGCAGGTCTTCCTTGGTCGTGTTTGCCGCCTCCAATGACGGTGTCGTCGACAGTTGAGAAGCGAAGGACACACTGGCCAAACAGACAACTCCGGTGGATCTTGGATCTGCACTTGAAGGTAGTTCACTAGGAAGGTTTCGGATCTGGCCAATATATTACTCCAGTCTTACAACCAACACCAGCTCTACTACCGCTAACCTCTCTACGCCGTGTAAGGCCAATGTCGTTCCCGTTTCCAGGCGAGGGAGGAAACGCTTGCGATGTACAAGGCAAATTCGGTTCTGATTTATGCTTAAGTTCGTTCTATCTCAAAGTCCTATCACCATGTGGATCCTATCATCCCATCTGTGCTTACCGACTCTATGGGCTCCCATTATCTTCATTGCGTGTCAGCTGCTTGCCCGTCGAGTCGTGTCCACAGCTTCCTGATTACGCCTGAATTCAGAACCACGTTGGACCTTGGATCTTGCATCCTGGATCCACCTGAGTCCAGATCCAGATCCATCTCAGTCTGGATCCAGCGCAGATCCAGATCCATCTCAGTCTGGATCCAGTGCAGATCAAGATTCATGTCGGATCTTGGATCCTGGATCCACCCGAGTCTAGATCCAGATCCACACGTTGGATTTGCGTCCTTTCACTGTCACTCTTCCGGATTTGTGCCGAGGTCCAGATCCGTCACTCGTCTCATCACTGCTATAACTCTTCTCCGGGAATTGCGCTTCTCCACAATCGCCTCCTGACCGTAGTTGACGCCGATCAACGGCGTCACTGCGGGCACAGTTAGCTACTTCTCCATCTTCCCAGGGCTGCCGACATGTCGGATACCAGGCGTAGTGCGTCCCATGCGTCGTCGGCCCGCAGCAGCCGCCGCGCGATC